TATTATTTTTTAGTACTTTCTAATCTGTGTTAATTTTACTTTGAAATCCAGATGCAAGGCAATATTGCAGTTACTCTGATCATGTGTTTTGAAGGTTAAAGACTACATGCCTCTCCCTAATTGTATCTCACCAAGTGCATGACAGAAGTACTGAATTGGACATCTGCTGCTGTACTCTTTACCACAGAGGCCACTCTAAAAAGCTGTCTGCTGTGCTTTCAAAGAAACCCATTGCTGTGTTCCAGCACTGAAGACAATAGTGGAGGGCAAAGATGTAACCTCTCAGATCCAAATGTTATATATTCACATTACATCTCCTGCAGATGAAAAACCTTCTTACAATGAAGAAGAAAATGAATTTTGGAACAGTATTTTTTTGACTTATTGTTGCAGTCAGAAATGAAGTGGCAGAACTGCCCAGTCTTAGTATTATTCATTAGGCAGATTCATTATGGTTGTATCTATGAGCCAACCCACATCAGATCCTCTTGTGCTAGACATTATAAAACCAAGAGCTCTTCTGAAAGTTGGACTATGCAGAAAATCATTTTGTACTGCTGAAATGTGTTTCTTGGAGGAGTGCCTAGCTTCATCACTTTTTTAGTACAAATATTTTTAGAGTAAGAAAAATGGTGTGATACTAATTTCACTCAAAACCTCAGATTACATAGGCCATGCTACACAGAAACAGAACATCAGCCAGAATGTGTTTGTTTGTGACTGGGAAAAGCCAGGTAAGAGGTAGAGACAAGTCAGAGCTGCAAGGGAAGGGTGGAGTATGTTGACTGAGGGAGACATGAGGAGTCAGTCCTTCTGATAGAAAATAGACTGGAAGAATGCTAGGAGTACTGAACAAATATTGGAAAAGGTATGGTCTTCCTTAAGGAAGCAGAACTTTGTCACTACTGCTCCCAGCTCTACTCTTGACTTGGTTTTCTGGTGGAAATAATATGTGAGACCATGAATACTGGCTCAAAAGGTATGTGAGGCACATTTTTTGTGTTTGGATCAGAGGAGGCAAGAAGATATTACTGGTTTTGCCCCTAATGTTGCAGTGTGTTTGTCCTTCATTAAAAAATAAAATTAAATGTGCTTTTTCTTCCTTCCAGCCTCCTATCCAGCAGCTCCACTGCAAATCAGATGCCATGTTAGGGTAGATACCTCTTCTTTCCAAATGCCTTGTTTAATCTCCTCCTTCCCTTCTGTTCAGTTTCTCTTACAGTACAATAAACCCTGGGCTTTGTCCACCAGTCTGTGTGTGGATATATCAGATCCTCAACCTTATTTGTATCTACAATGACCTCTGGGGAGAACATATCACCACTTTTTCATCTCACTACAGCAGTGAAAGTGAGTAAAACACAGTTGTTTTGTCTTTGAGCAATGGATTTGATGAGGTGGTTGTCTTGGTAATTAAAAAACCCCAACCCCCTCCACCCCAAGAACTCTGATTGGCTTCTCCATTAATCACTACAAGAGCACCATTGACTTACCATGTTTGTGAGAGACATGCCCTTACAAAGTAGACACAATTTTTTTCTATCTCAAAGAACATTTCATTTGGTGGTCTAATAACTTTCACTCACAGATATTACAATAAGCTGTGAGTGAAAAAAGGTAATAAATATGGGCCTGCACATCTTAAATATGTGGCTGAATTTTGTTTACCAATCTACTTTAAGTGTAAACCAGTGATGTTCAGGGCTGTTAGCCCAGAAAGACTAGCTAACCTAGCCTTCCAATTGATCCAACTGGGTGTTAAAGGCTGGTGAGAGTTCACCTCTGATGGGGTCACCAGATGTCAGCCAAGCAGCAGCGCCCATGCCTGCCCTTAGTCCATGGCAGTAGTGAGATATGACGCTTACATAACCCTCCTGTCCTGTAAAAGTGGCTTAGGAGAACTTTTCTCACATTTGAAACTGTTTATGAAGAACGTGGCTGATTGCCCTGGGTCAGTCAGAGGTAGATCATAAAGGCAATGCAAATCACTATGTATCTGCTGCGACCAGTGTCTTACTTCACCCACATTTTGTGAAGATGGGCTTTTGCAGGAAGGATTTGTGTGCTGTGGATATGAGTGATTCCAAAGTTTTTCCCCTGTTCCACTGCTGAGATTTGGTTTAATCCTGAGGTAACTATTCCAGTAAAAATACTAGCTGTCATTGGTCCTTCAGCATCCCTTACACCTTGTCCAACTTGAGCTGTGGGTTGTTGGGGGCATGAGATATATGTATATATGATGAGATATATGTAACAGAATGGCATGGCAAGGCTCTGTCCCTGGCTCTGATGGAAATGCAAGCCTTGTAAACAATAATAACACCTGAACCTCTGTGCTAAAATCTGCAGACACCAGAAAAGTACCAAATCAGACCAATAGGTCAGATCTTAATTGAGAAACAGAAATGCAGCAAAAAAAAAACCAAAAAGCAAAATCTAAGCCTTGGCTCTGTTTTGAGATGCACAGAAGGGGAGCTTGCACACTGATGTTCATCTCTCAAGACTAAAGGCTGAGAAAGCAGGACCTACATGCCATGTACAGGAGAAAAATCCAAGTTACACAAATCTATTTTTGTTAATCATGATATTGATGAGTCTTCAATGGCCACAAGACACGGTGTCTGGCATACAAGCAGGAATTAGCCTCTCTTACTGTCATAGCTATGGCGTGGGACTCCTACATGGCAATCAAAGGGCAAGAGGGAGAAGCCCACATGGGGTACCCACCAGTGAGCTTTTACTGCCAGCACTCATGATCAGCACCAACAACTGCAGACTCCTTGCCTGCTGCCATTAGTCACCAAGGATTGAGAGCAAATATGTAAGGAGAATACAATTAAATAGGTGCAAGTGGAAAGTGGGATAAAATGCAACAGGACTTTACCAAAGGTATGTTTTGTGAAGCAAAGCCAGAACCCTCTGTGAGCAGGGTAAGGAGAATAAGGAGAAGGCAGGAGATTCAGCAAGGCCAGACCTCAGTCAGCAATTGGTACATGATTTCATAGAAAGCTGTCACAGAGGTTGGTGACATGCTGCAGCATGGGTAAGAAGTTAAAGTTAAATGGTTAAATAGAGATGCCACAGAGGAAATGCTCCCTCACAGAAATAAGCTCCAGAAGGAGCAGGCATCACACCTATCTAAAGTGTAAAAAGTCCATCCATGCCCTAAATTATGGACTATACCAGTGACATTTCTTGATGGTGTGGCTGGGAAGAACAGCCAGGACAAAGATCAGGATAGCCTGGAAAAGGATTTGCCTGGACTTGAGGACTGGAATAATGACAGAAGTTCAAGCACCAAGCAACAAGAATATGTATTTTTAGAATAAACAATACAATATCCAGTTTTGAGATGCATAATTGTGACTTAGAGGTTAGGACTGAGAGGTGCATACTTGTGGGGCACCAAATGAGCCTAACATAGTGAGAAGACTGGAGGAAGTGGCTGTAAGGTGAGACAGGGGAGATTCAGATTAGATAATAGAAAAAGATTTTTCACTGTTAGGGTGGTCAGGCACTGGAATAGCTGCCCAGGGAATGGAGTCTCCATCCCTTGAGGTGCTCAAGAAGCACCTGGTTGTGCCGCTGGGTGCTGTGGTTGAGGGTTAGGGTGCGTAGTTTAGGGTTAGGGTGCTGTGGTTTAGGGTTAGGGTGTGTGGTTGAGGGTTAGGGTGCGTGGTTGAGGGTTAGGGTGTGTGGTTTAGGGTTAGGGTGCGTGGTTTAGGGTTAGGGTGCTGTGGTTTAGGGTTAGGGCGCATGGTTTAGGGTTAGGGTGCTGTGGTTTAGGGTTAGCGTACGTGGTTTAGGGTTAGGGTGCTGTGGTTTAGGGTTAGGATGCGTGGTTGAGGGTTAGGGTGCTGTGGTTTATGGTTAGGGTGCATGGTTTAGGGTTAGGGTGCTGTGGTTTAGGGTTAGGGCGCATGGTTTAGGGTTAGGGTGCTGTGGTTTAGGGTTAGCGTGCGTGGTTTAGGGTTAGGGTGCTGTGGTTTATGGTTAGGGTGCTGTGGTTTAGGGCTAGGGTGTGTGGTTTAGGGTTAGGGTGCTGTGGTTTATGGTTAGGATGCGTGGTTTAGGGTTAGGGTGTGTGGTTTAGGGTTAGGGTGCTGTGGTTTATGGTTAGCGTGCGTGGTTTAGGGTTAGGGTGTGTGGTTTAGGGTTACAGCGGCAGTACCAGATGGGGACGGCCGGACTGGGTGATCTCAAACCGCGGTAACTCGGTGACAGCGTTGGTGAGACACTGAGAGCCCAAGGTGGCGGTTTTCACCTCTGAGTTATCATTACTAATTCTTCTGCGCCCTTCTTGGGTATATAAAGGACTTGGTGTTCCCTACAATCCAAAGCTGACGTAAGGACGACTCGAGGGAGGCTTCTGGTCTCCACCATCTCCTCTCTCGGGACCCCCAGCTGGGGACGGCACTCAGCTTCTTCCCAAGTCCTTTTCCCCTTCCACCCGTGCCAGCGCTCCGAACCAGCCTGCGGGCAGGCAGGCGAGGCAGGACAGGACAGGACAGGACAGGCCGTGCCGAGCCGAGCCGTGCGGTGCCGAGCCGTGCGGTGCCGAGCCGAGCCGATCCGTGCCGTGCCGAGCCGAGCCGAGCCGAGCCGAGCCGAGCCAAGCCAAGCCGAGCCGAGCCGAGCCGTGCCGCCGGGGCCCTCACGGCCGCGCAGCCCAGTCCGAGCCCCGCGCGCTGCCCCCGCCGGCCGCCCCGCGCCGCGCGGGGGAGGCGGGCCCGACCGCTGCACCGCCCCATTGGCTCCGCGCGGGACTCTCCGCGCTTCCCGGCGCCCCATTGGCCGAGGCGCCCCCTGCCCCGAGTCGATTGGCGGAGCGGGCCGGGATCCCCTCCGGCGGGGGGGCGGCGCTGGGGCGGGGGCGGCCGCTCGGTCACCTGCGGCCGGGGCGGCCCCGCTCCGCTCCGCCGGCCCCGCCGGGGCGGCCGCGGCGTCACCGGGAACGGCCGGGAAAAGCCGGAGAAACAAAGAACATGGCGAGGGGAGGAGGAGCTTACGCCGCCTTAACCGCTGGGAAGGGCGCTCCGGGGGCGTACAATGCCCGCCGCGGGGCGGGTTCGCTTCCCTCCGCCCCCTTTCCCCGCCCTTGTGGCCGGGCTGGCGGGGGGCTGGGGCGGAACGGGATGGGACGGGCTGAACTGGACTGGATCGGAGGTGGCCGTCGGGAGCGGGTCCGCTGTCTGCCGCAAGTTTCGCCCAGAGTGGGAAAGTTGGGCGGGATCCGTCCAGGTAAGGAGCGGGCGGGGGTCCCGGGACACCTGCGGGCCGGGCCGCGCTCCCGCTCCGCCCGCAGCTGCCGGCGCTCCGGCCGGGGCCGCAGGTGCGGCGGGACGGGCGGCCGTGCCCGGCGGGCCCCGTGGGGCTCAGGCAGCCCCCGCCTCTGGAAACTTTTTAGGAACTTGGAGGGTTGTCCGCCCTGGTTGTCTCCCTGTCGGGGGAGAGCCGTCGCCGTGCGCTACCCCGCGGCACCTGGCACAAAACCTAGCGGGACTATCGGGGCCGGAGCGGGAACCTCCGAACAAACTCATCCGAAATTGCGTGGAGTTACAGCCCTACCTGTGGAGAGGTGCCGGGACCGCTGCCCTGGTGAAAAGAAAACTCTCCAGCCCATTTTCTCCTGGCGTCTGCACAGAGTGCGGCTCTCTGCTGGTTTTTCTCAACTCTCAAATTATTCTTTAGCTCTGGTCTTGAATAAATATTGCTCATGTCAGAATGATTATGGTACTGTTGAGAGGCCTTGGTCGGGATTTTGATTCTTTTAGTTTGTACTTAGATGGAGACTTTGTTGTTTTTTTTCTTTTTTTAACAAACTTTTAAACTAACTAATGATTTGAGCATCCGGTTTGAGGGGTAACTTAAAAGAATCGTACTAAGCGTTCAGCTTTTCGGCGTTTGTTTTAAGATGTCTTGAGCTAGTCAGCTGAAGTTTGAATTTTCAGAAATGTGTAGAGATAAAGAGATAAATCACTGGGCTGCCTAAAGTCATGATTAATGAGTTCATAATTAATTCAGTTACGGTCCCGTCCCCCCCCCATCCTCCCCCAGATTCACATCGAGGCAGCTCAATTGCATATCAAAAGCCTCTTCTCATTTTCACTTAGTAAGTTATTAGACTTTCAAACTGTTCTTGCTCTTTCTGACTTTGCTCACACCCTGAACAATTGAAATGAAGTTTTGGGGCAAGTGTCTCAGTGTACTTGCTTAGACACAAGAAATGAAGACAGCTTAGTGATAGAAATGCCAGGAGCGTAAATAGCCATTATTTTCTATCAAAGATTAATTAGTTATCATCTTTATATCTGCACATGTAAGTATAAGATGGGTAAAATTTTAAGGTGAAAGTGCACAGAAGCTCTGGAAGGTACTGTTACACATTGCCCCAGCCTATGAAGAATATCTCTTTAAAATGTGTTGACATTTAATTGACCTTTGAAAGTTCATTCTGTTAATCATACTCAAAGCACTAAAGCTATGGTTGACTGATCTGGTGCTCGTACATTCAGCCGTGCTCAGCATATAAATTCTGCAGCATAATTGCTACTTATTGAGCAAGAGTTTCTTTTCTTCTCTGAAAATGAGAAAGTTTTGCTTTGCCTCCGGCTGGGTGCTGCGGGTAAAGTTGTGAATCCAAATGCTTTCCTGCCATCAGTTGTTGTGGCGGGTGTGGCCTCCAGCCAGGCAAGAAATTCCTTTGCTGAAACTGTGGTTTTTTCCTTCCTGAGGCCGCACATAGGGCAAGGTAACCTTGAAGGTTACTTCTGTATCTGCTTTGAGTCAAAACACAATAGGTCACTTTGCTTTTTGTGTTTTAAGCTCTTCTATAAGCCAGCTGTTTGAATGGAGAAGGCTGAGTTTAAAAAGTGTGATTGCAGAAGATAACTCCCCTCTCCCCCTCAAAAACTTGGGTCTGGAAGTCAAACCTAATATACCCATGTTAATATGCATGCTACCTTTTTATGGGTGTTATCCATAGCTTTGTTGTATCTCAGACTCATACAGATACAGGGCATGGAAGCATTACTTATGAGGTCACTGTCAAAAGATGTGGGTAAATATTAATTTTTACTGGGTTCACTTTCTGGATAGATTTCCCATTGAGGCTAATAGTTTTTGTGTGTTGAGACCTCTTGTGTCATATAATGAATTTGTAAGTCTGTCCATTGCCTTGTGAGAAATGAGGGAAATACTAAATGTTAAATGCAGTGTCAGTGATTCCTAATACATCATTAGCTCTTTGCTGTTACTATTGAAAACTAATTAATAGCTCTTAGTCATAAATCTACTTACAAAGTTAGAGACCTGGCATTGCTGTTGTAGTTTCCTAAGCTATTTTGTCAATGCTGCTTTTGTACTAGAATCCCCTTCCCTGAACTGTGAACACAGATGTGATGTTCAAGGTGCATTTGGAGCCACATAGCTGCCCTGACCTTGGGTTGGTAGGAGCTGTTAAAGCCCACAGAGGGAGAGGTTGTCATCTGAGCAAGTATTTTTGTCAGGGCTTTGTCCACCAGCACACAAGTGCTTTGAATACTAAAAAGTGATCCTGTGGTTGGGTTTTGTTTATTTTAGTAGAATACATACAAGTACCACACGTGATTCATTTTACTGATTCTTTGGAAAGCTGAGTGAAGATAAATGTGCCAAGGGCATGTCTGTACTTTCTGTACAGTTGACAAAAGGAGGAGAAAAATATCCAGGGTAGCTTAAGGGCTGAAGTGTGCAGATGCCTGACCTGCAGCTGCCCTGATGCCCATAGCCCAGAGTTGGCACCCACTGTGTCTGTGGGACTTGCAGGAAAAGGCCATGCAAGGTGTCCTCTGTCACCTCAGAGGACATCGATCAGATCCTCAGGGACCAGCAGGACATGTAGAGAGAGATCTGCTCTTCAGCTTAGCTTTTATAGAGGCTTAAGTCTTAAGGGTCTAGCTAGGTGAAGGTGTCAATCCATTTGTTATTTGCAGTTGCAAACACTGCCCTGGAATGAGATGCTGGAGCAGGGTCCCCTTTTCTAAAGGGGTCACCTTACTGATTTGTGGGAGTGATTTGAATGTGGTGGCTCTCCTGGGTGGCAGAAGCTCCTGGACTGAGCTTCTCCTGTTGAGAGCAGTGGTCACAGCATGGATGGCATCCCCACATGGGCGCAGGCATTTGAGTGGGGGAGTGAAAGCCAGGTTTTGAGTTGTGGCTGAGACAGGCCCAGCCGGGGATTTAAACCTGAACCCTTGTCTTAGTGTTTGTATTGTACAGAAAGGTTTCTGGTGCAACTAATTCTTCCCAAACTCCTTATTTTATTATTGGGATAAAGGACAGATCTGGAAGTTTCACATTCTTGCACTTCAGCAGTTGAGGAGCAGCAGGGTGAGCAGGGGATTTGAGAGCCACGTGGTGGTTTGGACGTGCAGTATTCGTTCAATCAGTGTTGTGAAGGCCTCAGTGTTGGTACAAGTACCTGCTGGCAGGAAGCTGTGTGCTCGGAGAGTAGCAGCAGCCAAGAACGGATGTTTAAAGTTTTAATAATATCTAAAACTTTATCAGGCACCTAAACCCTTGAGAGTTAAGAGGGAGAGAGTTATGAAGGTGGTGGCTGATGTTCTTTCTATCTGCATTCCTAGATTACTCTGAGGAGGATAATGTGAAGTCAGTCTCTGAAGATTGTGGCATTTCGTGAAAGGAATGTAGCACTGGGCCATAAATTAACAGGAACAGGAAAAGCTCATTCTCAACTCCAGTTTATTAACTCAACCATTTGCATATGTAATCCTTTGCACCAAAAACTTGTACTGTGTAAATACATCTTTTACAATAGCAGCCTACCACAGCAAATTGATTTTTGTGCAGGAAAGTTTCCCTTTCTCTTTTATATTGAGGTATGTAGAAAATTAGTTTTATATTATTCTGTAAGACTGCCTCTGTCTATGACACTTCACGTTGAATAAAACACATGATAATATGTTCTTGATCAGTGTTAAGAGCCACAGATGCTTTTACTCTGTAACCATTTGCAATTTTAGAAGCATGTTTTAGAGTGCATACATAGACAGGTTCAGTTGCATTATAACATACTCGCTGGTCAAGGTGAGCCCAAGCCATCCTAATGTGACATGCCTGACATAATCCCCAGGGGATTAGTTGTTAAGACATTTGAAAAATAAAGTCAGGTCTTGCTTCAGTGTTTTTCCTTAGTGACACATGTCCTAAATTAAAGCTTTTGCAGCAAGTTGATTATAAACTTTCTCTGAGTCTAAGCAACTGAGAGCTGTTCTTAGAGCTGTCAAGAGATGTACTCATAGCTCTAATTTTTAGCTGACTACTAAATCTATATTTATCTATCAGGGATTTTCCTCACTATTGACCATCAGAAAAGTGGGGATTTTTTTAATAGAAAAAGGTTTCATATATGTCCTGTTTCTTTTTCTGTTCCTTTTCTGTAATCTCTGGGCAGTTATGTCTGCTGTCGGGAGTAAAATGCAGCCATACAAGCTGTTTGCATCTATGGAAAGCTGTGTGGGGGCAGCATTGAGAGTAACTCTTTGTGACTTATACTGGAAACTTTGGGTTGAAGGTGAGGAAGAAGGATAATTCTGAGTTCCCAATGCCTGAAGTTAATCAGTAGGGGTTTCTTCTCACTTTGTGCCCTCCTCCCACCAGTCATTTCTCACATGCAGCTCTATTTCAGCTGTTCCAGAAAGGGTCACTGCCTTCTCCTCTTGCAGAACTTTGTAGTGTGTGCGTTCTTTGGCACGTCAGCATTGATCGCTGTGTAGTAGTTTTTTGAGCACTTTGGAGCTTCCCCAGTGTCTTAGCCTAGGGCATTTATGCTGGTAAGGCCTCTCTTCTCTTGCTTCACTGGTCAGTCTAATGCTTTCTCCTTGCTTTGTAGGACTGAATTGTGCCTCTCTTTTAACTTGGTGGGCATTTTTTTTTGTCATGTGCTTATTAGTCTCTTGTAACTTCTGCTTCTGAAAAGTTGTGAGGAAAGACCTTTTCACGGTGGATGAGGAGAAAGGATAACATTAACAAGATTCAAGTTCATGGTCCTGTCAGTATGATGTCAGCATTTTATCTGATAGGTTAGAATGTTTAATTTCAAACTGTGGGAACAAGCAAGTGTTTAACTACAGATGTTCAGCCTCATTCTGTTCCCTCGTTTCATAAGCCTGGTCACACCCCAGAAAAGGGGAGGCTGTTGGAAGTAAATGAAGAATGGGACTTGAATAGGTGTATTGCCCCAGTTGGTATGTGTGCAAAGTTTAGTGCATTTGCTGCACATGAACTCTAGCTTTGTTCTTTAAATCTTGCTGTTATATTTTTCATGGTGTTCTTAATAAAGTTGCTTTCTGCACACTTTTAGTGGATGTTTTCCTTCATGTAGGACCCAGTAGCTCTCTTTCATCTAGAACTAATTTCTGGTAATGTTCAAGTACCTTTGGGACAAGAGTAATCAATGCATTGCACAACCTTGTGGGTAAGGATGTGTAAGCTGAAGCCTTGCAGACTCTTCTGCAACATCTGGGGCTTGGGCAGTTCACTGTGGAGCACATTAAATTGCAATAGTGTTGTGGTCAGAGTCTGTATTTGTTTTGATCTAGGGAGATGAAGGACAAACATTTAAACATTATGATTGTGCTAATTATTTTGAGAGTCTTTATGTCCCAGTTTTGTGTTTGACTTCTAAATGAGGAAAGGAGGGATGAGAAGTAAAAAATGGCCTTCCCTGTGTTTGCAGGGTGTCTGGGATGGGTGCAGCGTCCTACCTATAGGTAAGCAGAAATGATTCCTGCATTATCAAACTGACCCTGAAATTGGAAATATGAGGGTAAACTTGTGAGATGTGAGTCACTGGGCTGGATTGGAGTTAAAGCCCCTGCTGTGCTCTTGAGAAAAGTAGGGGTGTGACTTTAGCACAAATTACATGTCCCAAATAGAGGAAATAAGAAATGTGAGTTAAAAGACAGTTCGCAAAATACAGGATGAAAGTGTTCTAGAAGTTCTTGGAGGGTGTTGGGGCAGAATTTTGTGTTTGAACATAGTTCTTGTCAGCTCAACATATGTCTCCTCCTGTGTGCAGGGATCTCAGGTATGTGCTCTAACTGTAATGTGTCCCCTGTGCCAGAGGCTTATCACTCCAGCTGTATTTTGCCTTTGAAATGAACAGTGCAGCTGAATGAGTTGTAAATGCTGCAGGTATTTTGTTCACACTGTTAAAGCTAAGTAAACGTTCTTTGCTGAGCTTGGGATCTATTACGTTCTGCTCCCTTGGACAATGCTTCTCCCATAAAACTATAAGGAGTTACTACGATTGGAGACTGTTTTCTGGTCTAATATATGCTCTTTATTCTTTTGCTAACCCAGTACGTGGTCTTTGTATTTATCTGACATGGGAAGCCACAAACTTGGTGGCTCTGCCCTGGGAGGTGACCCAGCAATGCGTAGTTAGGCGCAGTTTCAGGCCGGATGCTGCATGCTGGTGGAACAGCAGCTGGCACGGCGCTTGGCTCTGCCGGCAAGGAGGGAGAAATGCTTTGAACCACCTGGGTGTAGCCCCCTAATGCCAGCTGATGCCAAAGAACAGTCAAACATGTTGCATCTTCCTTTGTGGCCAGTACTTAAAGTTTGCAGGCTTCACAGTGATTCCCTCATGACACTGAAATGGAGAAGAGTAAACAACACTGTACTGTTCACTGATGCTATAGCAGAGCATAAATAGTGCTCATGCTCCTCTTTAGCCTTCACTTGTTGCTGCAGCTGGTTGGGGGAGATGTGTTTATCTAAGGCACCTTTGTTTCATGTGGCACATCCAGAATGGGTTCAAGTACAGGTGTCAGGAGTGCAAATTGATAAATAATATGTTTTGCATATTTACATTTCAGTTAATACATCCCGCACTTCTTTTGCTTTTGTTGTGTGCTTGTAACTTAGATTTCAGAACTGTCATGTGTGTATTCTCCCTCTGTTTTAGGTTTGTATACTTTGGTTTTCCTTATTTTGTTTTTTCTATGCTCTTCTCAATCTCTGTTTCTTTGGGTTTTGCCTAATATTGTGGTTCTGTCTTGTGTATCTGCTCATCCATCTTCAGGGAGTTCTCTATGTCCTTCTTCCTCTAGAATGATTGAGTGAATATATTCTTCTCCATCTTAAAGGCTGTAGGGATTGTGCTTTTCTGAAATCATGTTAAGTCTGAGATTATGTGGTTGGTTTTGGTTGTGTTATGTGTACATTTCTTAATATAATAAATGAGAAGTCATTATGCCTACCTCTGGTGGGAAATTTAAATTCTTCAGTGTTGTTTCTGAATACTTATGCTGCCTTAGCAGGTAACCTTTATCTACATGAATTGAGAGACAGCTGCATTCAGCAGTAATGTGTCACTTTAAACACATTCCAGGTTTTAAATGACGGTACCAGAGAAGGACACGGTTGTAATAATGATTGTTAGAAGCTATCTGACTTTTTGCAGACAGTCCTAATAATAAGAGCTATGCAATCTGAACTGCTGAACTTCTGGAATTACAATAACTTCTGTTCATGTATGTGATACAGATTCCTGGAAATCTGAGGAGCAGACTTTGGCAGACGAAGAATGTAATTCTTCCCGGAGGTGTGGGTACCTCTTATGAAGGGGACTGAAGTAGGATCAGCTGATATCCAAGAAGTAAGTTCTTGGGCTTTTTTTGCCAGATATATTCCTAATGAGGTACACTGTAGTATTCATTCACTTGGGTGGATTAGAAGCTGATTAAAGTCTTTAAAGATTAGACATTGAGGAGAGAATTTTGAGAAGAGGCTTAAGAAAACTAGGCACTACATGTTCATGATTTTACCAAGAGCTTTGACATCTCATTCCCAAATGTTTGGCTGTTTGTGTCTCATTTGGTGCATAATTTCAACTGCTTGTCTGCAACTGCCTTCTTAGTGCAGGGGGAGCCTGCTGCTTCAGGCATTTTAGAGCTCAGATGCAGTTGAGAGAATTGGATTCATCTGCAACAGTTGGAGATACTCATGTGTATCATAACAGCTGTGAACTTGAGTTCATATAAGTAATGTGTGCTTAATCTTCCTGTGCTGTCAGTGACAGGAAGAGGAGGAATAATATTTTCCCATATTTAATGATGATCTTAAAGTTTTTGACAAGCAAATTTGAAAATGGAAACTATAAAGCAGCTTAGGAAATAATTGCCACGAGTGAAACTTTTGCAGATTCTATGTAGCTTTTAATTTGCATTTTCATCTGTTGATATTCCACTGTTAATCTGATATGATTAAAAACTAATTTACCTGCCTCAGTTACCCTATCACCTTGTCTATATGGAAGGTAACAGAAAAGGTACAGGCTCTGTTTTTGAATTCTAGGAGCACTTGGCAAGTTATGGTTTAGTTGCTTTGTTTGTTTGTTTGTTTTTGTAGTTATTTCTTTGTCACCAATAATCCATTCATCTGACGTAGAAATTTCAGGGGAATGAGGGAAAAGCAGTGGAAAGCTTTTCTATTTAGAGAACAGTGCTTAAGTGCTACCAGTTTGCCCCTTTCTCCTTCTGGGACATGCGCCATAAATTCATGAAGACATTGAAATGTTCAAATGTTGTTCCTTTTGTCTTGCCTGTATTTTACCTGTTCAGATATGTTTCACCTTATCAAGATCAGCATGTATCGAGTCCTGTTGATTGCTATTTGACTCTTGAGCACTTTCTTACTGAACACCTCTGTAAGAATACTTTACAAATTAAATATCAGACTGGTAAAGACAACTCATTGCCTTCTCCTGCATAACAGTCCATACTGTGTGCCTCACAGTTTTAGGTTGACCTTCTTTTGACTACAGGTGTAATCTGTGCTTTTAAAATGGAAAGGTAGCCATATATGGAGTAAGATTGCATATTGTTGCTGATATAATTTACTTAATCTAATTAATTCCATTTTATAGCCTTCCTACATTTTCCTCCTTTAAGGTGTGGATATTAGGCCAGTATATTTACAAATGAAATGATAATTTTAGTGTGATGAGTAGAAGTAATTAGGCTGAAATAATTCTATTCTGCAATCAGTATTTTGCATTTGAGGTTTTTTTTGGTTTGGGTTTTTCTTTTTTTTAATTTTGTTTTGTTTTGGTTTTTCTTACTATCTATGCATATTGTTTTACAAGGTGATTTAATTGTATTTCTTAGCCGGCTTTTGATAAGATGAGACTGGTTAAGAGAGGAACTCTTTTCCTTTCTTTCCAACATATTGTTATAGTAAATATATTTTATCCTGTTCTTCAGTAGATCTCACACAGGAAAGGCCATTACCTCCTGATATTGCCAACTTTGTGTAAGGTTGGGGACCTTACTGAGCGTTTCATAGCTTGTTATGATTGCTCTCCTAAGGAGAGAGGGTGAGTGATCCTGTGGCTCTGATGTGGTATATAGATGCCAAGTGCTAGGAATTCCTGGAATGTAGAGTTGTGCAGCACTGATAAAGTTTGCTTTGTTTCCTTAGTGACTTGACCCATTGAGAAAATGTGATTGCCTAGGAAGCTTTAGTAGCTCAAAGTTTATATTGAATAAAGGGAAAGGCCCTAGCACAATTCTGCTTGTTTTCACCTGCTGCCTGACAGAGTAATTTTCTTAACCTTAGTATAGAAAATATAACCCTGAGTTTTGAAAGTGATTTATAGAGATCCTTCACACTTATCAGTTTGAGTAAATACGCCACAGGCTTCTGCGTTCCAACTGCAATCTTTTCATAACTTACTCAGTTTACAGTGTGGTAATTTCATTTGGGGGTAAAAAAGTTTCAAGGAAAAACACCTTCTAATTAGAGTGATATAATCGCTCTGCTTGCCTGCTGTGGTTTCATATGACTTCAGAAAAATAGTTGAGTGATTAATCTTTAATTTTCCCCATCATTAACTTAATAAGGAAGTGGGAGATAGAACAAAAAACAAACAGCAGAACTGTACAACTGAGACGCTGTTATGCCAAATCTTTTTGGCTTTTTCATTTGGTGAGAAATGCTATTCTGCCAACTCCATGTGAAGTGTAGCAGCAACTGGTTAGCTCAGACAATTTGTAGGAATCTTTATTGAAGCCTTAGCAGAGCTTACTATACAACTTCTTCCTTCTTCCCCACTGTCCCCTGTGGGCTGGATGGGTTTTTTTTCCCATGGTTTTATTTAGAAGCAAATATTGTATAAGCTAACTTCTAATATTGTATAATTTCTTTGCACCCACTTTTCTGAGGGGAAGGAAGCCATCCCAGACACTTTGGCAAAATAATACCCTTATAAAGGGTTTGGTTCTATTTTTGTGCCAGTTACTATCTTTAGTTTCTGTGCTGATAAGTGAACTTTGTTGTAGAGTAGTGCGGTTTTTATATGAATGTGACCGGATTGGTCAAGTCTCTTGGAGAACAAAAACAAACACAACAGTGGAAGCAAGTTGCTCTTTTTGTTCGTCTTTAATTCTTACTGGGTATAAAACAGGCAGCATAGTATTAGAAGTATAATGCTTGAATAGAAAATATGCCTGGCTGTTTGCAAATGTTCCTCTGGAAGTTATACTTGATTTCATTAGTAAATACTATAAACATAGTCCAGTGTACATCTGCGGGCAGCAACACAGCAACAGAAGTTGTAGTAGATCTTAGCTAACCTGCTTGGAGGCTTCTGCATGTTAATAATATAAAATAAACAGCCAAGGAATGTGTATTGCTGTTGACAGTGAGCGACTGTAAACATCCTCGACTGGAAGCTGTGAAGCAGCAGATGGGGCTTTCAGTCGGATGTTTGCAGCTGCCAACTGCCACAGACGTCAAGAAATGTTTGACACCTAAAACATAGCTGTCTGTTTAAAACTCTTATTTCATCTATCACAAGCATACGAATTAGGCCAGGCTTTTCTACATACTGCTTAATCTTTCTTCTGATGTCTGTGTCTTAATATCTATAAATCATCCAGTCTCTGTTAGGAAGAATCAAAAATGGAATCAGGTTTTATTTTTAACTGCAGACTCAGTTCTAAGTTTTCAGAGTTGCTTGTTTGTACAGATTACTTGGCTTTGATTTTACACTCCGTTGGAAAGTTTTCACAAGATTATTTCACATCTTTATCATCTCTCTGATGGTTCATTTAGAATTTGAAATGCTAAGCCGTGTAGGAAATAATCACTTAAAGGACTTCTGGAAACTAGAAATTCACCAGTAAACAAAACATTGGGGGGGGGCGGGAGGGGAAGTATTATAAATTTAATTTTCCTGGAAGAGGCCCAACTCTGTAAAATTATAGGGAGGTCAGGGAAATTTCATGTGTCTGGGTTTACTTCTGATGTATCATAGCATCTCAGCTGTCTGAGGTTCCATGATCTTCCCCTTCACCCTCCCTTGCAAGAAAAAAAAAAAGGAGGAAGTGCTAAAAGTTGATTCATACTTTTCATACTTTTCTAGAAGTCAATTGAGGCAATTTCAAGATTCCAGTCCTGCCAATTAATTATATGTGTGGGCGAACCCTGTTGCTAAAATAACAACTGTAAGAGATAGAGAACAATTTATGTGATTGGTACACTACTTAAGGGTGATTCCTATCATGCCAGAAAAAGAGCAGTGAGGTTGTAGCACATAACTGATTAAAGTTGATAATAAAAGCACTAGTGAATTCCTTCTTGAGAGAATCTATAGAAGATATGCATCTGCTTGGTGCATGCATTAAATATCGATGGTCTTGGTAAAGCGAGTTGTGTTGTTAATTGTTTTTTTCTTATTGTCAGTATCCTTTTTTCTCAAATATGTTTGTGTGCAGGTTTGTATAAAAGTATGAGAGGAGATAATCTAAACATTACTCTGTCCCTTTACATTTCACATAAGAGACAGATACCATAAGACTTTCTGGACTTGGTGACTTTTTTTTGTAAGGGAGTTACTGTCCTGGTCATAGTTCTTACAAAACATTATTGTCATATAGGTGGGTAAAACAGTATCTGCAATGTCAAAATCCCCATATTCTATATTTGAGAAACTCCACTGATCTGTTTGGCAAATAGCATTCAGTGAAGATTTGTACACAGGTTCAAATTATATTGAACAGGACCAGTATACAAATTAATTTCAGGATTGCTTGAAGGTCCTCTTAGGATTAGCACTGGGACATCATCTTGCACATTTCTTCTTCATAGTAAGGTATGAGGTCTCCCAAAAAGAATTTACAGTCTGAGTCAAGACCAGTGGCATCAAAGTGGAATTTAGATGATGTGGGCAGAGGTCACGTGGGAAGATGGGGGGAGGAGGGCAGATCTAAGTGACACTGAAAAGCTTGTAGTGAACTCAGAAAAAGAAAATTCAACAAATACAGCATTTGACTTAAAATAATTGAAAATTTAATTCAGGGCCAAGTTAGTTGCTCAGGGTATGGCTTACATGGGTTGTAGAAGTAGCTGAATTTTTGGAATTTATGGCAGAAGAAATGTGGGAATTACAGGCAACAGTCAAGTTACATTTGTGAATGATAGAGGTGGGTGTTGCTGCTGACAGAGTAGAACACTAATGAACAGAGTTGTGGTTTAACAAATAACAAGTGCTTGGAGGAGTCTCTCTGAGCTTAAAACTGGCTTTATTGAAAACCACGAGAAGTTTCTAAGTGAACTTGTAATGAAATTTATGAGACTTGGATGCACTTGAGAAAT